AAACAAGAACCAGTTTCTTCAGGAAAGTCTTATTCTACTGGTTATAAAATCTTCTTAAAGGAGCTGCACATCTCCGCAGTCTTCCTTTAAGCCTTCTTTGGAATGTTCTCATTGGATTTTTCACACATTTGAACCCTAAATATTTCAGTTATCTCAGTATGTTTCTGGAGACCTGGCTATCAATTACCAGAATTTTCATTTGGTTTTTTGATCTTTTTTTCCCCTTCTCAGATTCCTCCTATAAAATCTGTAACAGTTCTCTCTTAGATATTTGCAAAGTCCAAGCAATAAAACTTCCAATATTCATCACACTGAAAAGAAAAAGATTAGAAACTACACCCTCAAACTTCTTCGAGTGTCTTTTAAATACAACAAAAGAAATTAATTGGCTGGTGTTTAGGATGAGGTAGGTGAGGGGTGAGAGGAAGCAGGGACTGACATTGTTTGGTTGCATCTGGTGGGCAACATCCCAGAGCTACCACACTACAGCAAAGAACTCACATTTTTTTGCCATGTTCTCAATGCCAGCATTTTATTAATTAGTTTTTAAAGTTTTTACTCGGCTTTACGTTGGAATTTGCGTCTTTTTTTTGAAACAAATTTGTCTTTAAGTTAGAACACATCATTTATTAGTAGCAGGAAATTCCAAGTAATCATATTGTGTCACTTTCCCCTACTACTTTTTATTGCACCTAGATGTTGATTTTTGTGAACTGTACCTTTTCTACCCTAATCAATCTTGTTTCTCTTTTGTACTTTTGCCTGAAGACTTCTAGTGTTTAGAATTAACTTTGTTCTCAGTCCTTTTCCATTTTGTGTACGATTATGCACCTAATTAAAGGTAATTGTTTCCTTGTTCCTACAGCATCAGCCAAGCAAGCAGATCTCAGCTACATCTGAGGGATATGGGAAAACTCCATCCTAGAAAAAGTGCAGCAAATACTTTGGTAATTTAGTATTTCATTGTTCTGTAGCTGTCACAAACATGCCCTAGATGTGCTTTACCTGCTTCACTAAGCTGTGGAAATCAGGGAAACCTGTGTATTCTGAGTCAACCTTAGCTACCACTAAGGTTGTCAATCAGATGGTTTTTTTTTTTAATCAAGGCTTTAACATTTATTAGCTTTGTATTAGCTTCTCTCTCAGGTTTTATTTGTAATTAAGAATAAAGTGCATGATTTTACTGATTTACTGCAACTTTTTCAAACTTCAGAATTCCAGGAATGAATTTTTATGTATTTTCTGGGACTCAGAGAAGGTATTTTAACGTGGCCTAATCGGGGCAAAGTGCCAGTTTTCATTAATTAAGTTCGTAATTGTGGAGCAGGAGTGAGAACAGTTTACAGAGGCGGAGCAGGAGAAGAACTTTAAGTAGCATTGCATGGCGAATGAGATGCACAGCTTCCATTATCAACAGGAGCTGCATGTCTAATCCACCAGACTCGGCACTGCAGAAAATGTTCCCTGGGATGTCAGGTGTTAAGGGGAAGAATGGGCCTCTCACGTTCTTTGCACTTACAAGCCGGCTGTAACCTTTTGACTCTCTCTCTCTTTCTCTTCTTGAGTTTTGTTTCCTGAAAGGAAAAGGGGGTGGGGGAACTCAGGGGAAGAAGGCTGAAAGAGTGGAAGATCTGTTTCAAAGTACTGTAGTGTATTTGCAAGCTTTTTTTTTTTTTTTCCTGGAATTAGTTTTGTTTTATTTCTTAAAGAAGCAGTTGCTTTTAATGCAGTGTTTACAGCACGACTTAAGATATGAATGTCTTACTGAGTACCACTGTCAACACTATAAACTTTACAGATGTGATTCTGCTGCAAGTGTTTTGCACATAGCTTTTTTGTCTTTCTAACTAAAATGAATATAATCTCATTTAAGAGTATAACTGAGGAGGAGAGCTAGTTCTGTGAATAAATGTTACAGGTGTTGCTTTTTATATGGACCACTGTTATGCAGAAGAACAACCCCCAAATAACAAGAAATCCCTTTTATTCTCAAAGGATTCCTTAACGTAGCATGATCATGTATTGATCACATTGAACTTGGATGCATTCCAAGCCTGAAGATCTGCATATGCAAAGAAAAGACTTTGTATAATACTTACACATTTCATCTTCTTGCTACCTCTGAGTTAGTAAGTGTGAAAATAGCTTGGTGCAAGGAGTCGAGCATTTTCTTCTTAATATGAAAGATCATGCAACAGATAAGGGAGAAAAGAGGTGGCTAATTAAGGTAGACCTCTCCAAAATTCATTACTTTTGAGGAAAAAGAGCAGAACGTGGAAAAATATATGAAAACTTACATCACCCTTCCTTGAAGTAGTCTGTTCTGGGCTGATCCATATTAGAATGTAAAAATGGAAACACTGAGGTGGTGTTTACTTTCATTAATTAAAAAGAATCTTGCTCGTAGCACAGCACCCTGAGAATGTTAAAGGAGTTTTATGTATTCCTGGCTCCCATCTTTGGTTTGAGGACCTCGTTCTGCTTCAACCTGTGTGTCTTTTTTTGTTAGAGATTATTTTGAAATGGCTCACATTGCCTTTGCATGGCTGAAATGTGGCAGCGATGGAGTGGTGCCAATGGAGGGGTAATTTTACAGCCAGCAATCAGGAAAAGGAAGAGTCCTTAGCCAGGGGACTCAACAGTGCCAGGAGGAGCCATTATTCTATTATTATTTCCAGTGTGGAAGCATTGTTTTAAGTTACATTAAAAACATCCTTTAAATTTCTTTGTTATTTGTGTTGTAAATTTTCCGTATCAACCTTTCCAAATGAAAGGTGTGTGAATGTATAACTAATGGCCTGCTTGAGATGCATCTTGCTTTAGAAATTGTAGGTTAAAGGGAAACCTGAAATCAGTGGTAATTCCTCTGTTTTAGCCTGGAAGTTCACAGAGATTGGCCAAAGATGGAGTGAGTTCTCCATTTCTTAACACTTGCTGGGACCAACACTCCAGATAGCCTGTCTCCTGACAAGCACTGTCCTCCCTTATTTTTTCTATTATTAGGGACTCAAACCCCTTATGATTTAAGGGCCCAACTCTATGTAAGCTTTCCAGGAACCTTACATTTAGAGGGCTAAAAGAGAGAGAATGAAGCCTATATTGTTATTCACGTGCATGGCTTTGTATTTACCTCCTGGAGATTGGTGTATGTTGAAGCCTGTAATGGATTTGAATGATGTTTCAGAAGGTTTGATATAGGTAGTTTCCTTGTGTTCAGTTACTCAGAAGTCCAGTGTCAGTAAATATTTTATATTCAATACTGCTTTAATTCCACTATGTAGAGCATGTGTTGTGAACCAGTATTGAAGGGATCCATTTATTGACTATTATTTTCATCATCCCTTTTTTATTGATAGATTTTGAGGAGGTGAAGGCAAGTGATATTTGGCATAAATGCAAAACTTGAAATAATGTCTCCCAAATCATTTGGGCCACTTGAGACACAAATGGGAACAGAACCCAAATATCCTAAATTCCAATTCAGCATCTTAATCCTGAGCCCATTTTTTTCTCATTCAAAATTAAAGTGTCCATGATTATTATTTCTACTGCCAGGGCTTTCCAAGGATTTAAATGTGACCTAATTTATTAAATGCTGTCTTATGTGCAAGACAGAAATAAAATCCTTACCCCAGGGCACTTACTCAGTGTCCCTGATCCTGCAATCTGATCTCTTGAATGAATGTCTGAACTAACACAGGCCATGCTGCCTGTTCAGAGCGTTTCACTGGGATTTTAACGGAGAATGAACACGTAGATTGCAGGTTGTCTACAACAACCCCAATGAATTTCAGTACATTACTGCTGCTTTCTTGCATGGTTACGTGTTTCCCTGAGTCCTCTACGAGCTTTTGTGTAGCGGTTGCTCAGTTACTTTCAGTAGACGGTGAAGTTTGGGCTGAACTGTTTTTTCAGCTATGTATTAGCCTTGATCTGTGGCACCACTTAAAGATGCTTTGCGATGCACCTTGAGATTAAAGTGCATCGCCCCTGCGGTGCATTGATCTCGTCTGGCCCAGAAAGGGGTTGTCATAGATCTGCTTTTGAAATCAGGACTCCCTCATGGGTTTTTCCAAGGCATCATCTCCATGTCATTGGGTTGGCAGGATATGAAGCTGAGGGTCTTTTTGAAGTTTTCCTTCACACCAAGGGGTGTATACTTGTTGTGTGGGAATTGTGGTAAATTACACCCTCGTCTCCCTGTGTCTTCAGTGCAGGATAACTTAATGCAGTGTTCAAATATTCTAGACCTTTTTTAAAAGTAAATTGTTTGATTTGTTATGTTGGAGTATTAAAATGAAGAATGGAATCTGAATGCTGAGAACTCATTTCTTGCAGAGGACTGAAATACCTGGGCTAAACTTCATGAATAAATTAAACAGTCCTATAAACATCTATTCCTTTGTAGCTACAGACAATAGTCTTATTTTAAGGAACATGATCATGTGCTTCATCAAAAATCACTCATGCTGATATTATTTAGTTTTTGTATAATCGTAAAGCAAATATCATTTTAAAGTCTGCTTGTGTATCTCACATTTCAATCTTTTTTTTTTTTCCCAAGTACAAAAAAGTTAGTTTTCTGCATCAGATGATTTGTTATTGGAAAAACAAAGTAACATTTCTTTACTCAAAACTCTTCTTCCAGCAAAACTGCGGAACGTGGAAAATATTTTCCAGCTTTCAGAGTTTATTTGATTTTGAACACTTTTGGTTATGTAAGTTTTAATAAGTAGCTTTGGTGTACCCCTAAAGGCACACCCCACACACTTATGTTGTGTGACCTAGGGTCACAAGTAATGGCTGCAAGCTAATTGATTGAGAAAGGCTTGTCTGACTGGGCCCCTTTGAGTCCTCCCTTTACATTCCTAAATTTCTGTAAAGGAGGCACTGGCAGCTTTGCCTGGAGAGAGGAGGGGTTGGGGGAAAGGGAGGAAGTTTCTCAGTTTCTGATTATGCGCAGAGTTTCCTTGTACCGAGCTTATGTTCTCCACCCACTACTTAGTAAGAACTCCTTAACAACTTAAAGCTTTATCCCTGTGAGTACCAGAAAAGTGATCTGAGTATTTATTGAGCAGGGAGAACAAACTGCTTGCTCCAGTCAGGGAGAAAGCTTATGGAAATGATATTAGACCTTCAGCAAAGTGCACAGCTGCATCATACAGAAGCTGAGACTCAAACTGACAGGCAAATAAGCCAGATCACGGAAGGGGCCTCTGTGTGGCAGCTCTGAGCTACCAAGTGTTGGACAACTAGGCAAAAAGTGCAATGGAACAGGGCAGAAAATAGCACACTAACTTCAGGCAACTGTTGCTTTTTCATGGTGAGTCCAGATTTGAAATGTTGTTTGAAATGTAGCTCTTTTTGTTGTTTCTAAAAACCCTTCCGTTTTACCACAGCAATCCTTTTGTGAATCTCATTGTGTTACAGATTATTTGTCCGGATGTGCAGTTCAGTTCTGACCGATACAAAAATGTACAGGGATAGCCCTTTCCTTGCTGCTTGCTCTCTCTTTTGCGTTTGCTTGCTTCAGGAGGCAGGTCCCGTTTCCAAAAGCTGGCTGCATGGCTCCTAATTTGGAAAGAAAGAGTTTTGCAGCCAGCACTTGGTGTGCAGCTGCATGTAGGTGAATGAGTGAACATAATTTCTGTGCAGAGTTTTCTGCATTTTAAACCTTGTGGCACCTCTCCATTGCTCCTTATTTCTCTGCCTTATCTTGAGAATGTATGGCACGGTCACTATGAAAAGAGCTTTGTGTTTGAATTCCTGGTGAGTCGAAGGGTCAGGGCCTATGAGTTATCTGCCTGCCAGCAAGACTCATTGCTGTGTCCCTTTATTTTTCAAGCTGAAATAGAAAAAACATGTGTCCTCATCCCTTTTCTATAAACGTATTTTGAATTCAGGTTTTACATGCTGTTTGTGTGTGCTTTGTTCTTTTGACAAACTTCGGGTTTGGGGGGAAGCCAGTTTTATTCTCTCCATATTTATTTTATTTGCTCAAGCTTTCCTGCAGCTTTTTTGCATTCCTTTGTTGTGATGCACATAATTTTTTTTCTTAAAACAACATTCAGTTATTTTGATTTCTGCTAAGAGAAAAAGGATTGATACTTGGATACATATTTCCAAAAATACCAGAGAGCTGTCTAAATTTTAGGTAAGTTGCACAATTATGCAGAAGATAAGACTTCTATTACATTTGACTCACTTAAGGAGGGAGACACAATACTTCTGGATAAGTTCTTGAACAGATTGTGTTGGATACACTAGTCACTTAGTGTATTGGTAATAAATATCATCTGAGCTATAATGTAATTTCAGTTACTGACTTACTTTGAAAAAGCTACTTTATTAGCACAGCAACAGAATTAAACATTGCATGTTGACAGTAACATTAGAAATATGTTTGCAAAAACTGCTGAGTGGAGGAAATTTGGAGTAATAAATCATCAAGGCATGTCAGAGTTACTCTGTATGTGATGTTTTAAGATGTCTGTAATTTAGAGGAGAAATGAGTCTGTTTTTCCTCCAGCAGGTGTGATTCTGTAGAAAATTATTTTCATCATATATTTCATTAAATAAATAGTTTTTTTTTAAAAAGAAAGAAAAGTAGCCAAAGTCGGTGCAAGAAAAATCTTTGGAGCTAAAGGGAAAAGGCTCACTTGATAGAATAATTCTAATATGCAATATAAAAAGTTGGTCAGATGAACTCTACGCAGAAGGTATATTACTGTCATGTCTTGACCAGTCTTTTTAAGTTTGTCTGCTCACCTGAAACTTGCTAGCATTTAGCACAGTGCCTGTTTAAAAAAATAAGATGATGCTTCAGATCTGAGTTGATCTCACGTTGCCGTCCCTTTCAAGTGCAGAAGTTCGTGTTGTTCACCTCTTGTGTCCTTTCTTATTTGCCAGTTTGAGATCTTGAGTTTACTCATCAATTCTGAAAATGGTTTAAAAATAAAGGGGGGGGGAAATTTTGTCAAAGAAAGCTGAATACAGATTTGAATGTGATGCTGCAATGTACAGTGATCTAAATGGACCTCATTCTTCATGTTTTCTTATTGTGAATTGAATTTCTGCATATTTTGACTTAGGCTAAACATTAGACTTTCTACAAGAAAATTATTGACTGTGTTCTTAGCTTAGTTAAGAGTGTGCTTTTCTTTTAAGAGTTTCAGGGTTCACTTTGAGGGAAAGAAATATGTCCTAAGTAACATAAATGTGATTTCCTTCTTGGCTATACTGTGATGGAGGAATCCCTGCTGAAGTGTTCTTTACACCTTTAAAAACTGAAAGTAAAAGAAACTTTGAGGAGATGGTCTCCTCCCAGCTTTGATGGCCTGGAGAGCTGGGTATCCATCCACCTCCTGGTGGTCACGAGGCACTTGGGGAGCAGGGGCTGGTGGGTGCTCACATGTGGCCACCTCCTCCATAGGCACACGAGCAGAGGATCAATCCTTTCTGTGCTGTTGGATTTCCATTGGTAAAATAATGGACCACTGGTGTTGTGACACCAGATTAGAGGGTTATGAAACATTTCTTCATGCTCTGATGATCAGCCTGATGAAGGGGAAAAGGTTTAATGAGGAGGAGAAGAATTTACTGAGGATTTTATGCCTATATCTATTATTAAAAGGAGAATATCTGCTCCCAGTAGCTGTGTTCTGTGATTCACAGAATCCCTGCAATAATGATGTGAATGATGATTAAATGTACTGTTCTTACTGACCATCTGAGGGATGACACAACTTAATGTGACTGGCAGGAAGCTTAAACGTCAATAGTATATCTCCAAATACTACTATTCTCTCTTAGAGAAAGTCAAAGAATCATGATCTCAAACTAAAATATTTATACTGTCTTTTTTAATTCTCTCTGGCACCAGTTAGAGAAAAAAAAAAAAAAGGTAGTCTTGAAAAAGTTAAAACACTATTGCTTTATAGTGTTAATTTTTTTGAAAAGTTTGTATTTAACATTTTTAGTGTTTTTCAAGGAGTAACTAGGTTTATTTTGTGAATTACAAAGTGATTTTGGAGGTTCGCTTTTGGATTTGTTCTGTTGTTCTGTGTGGAAGAAGAAAAACTTTTATTTACTAGCCCTGTTCCTTTTATTGACCCATTCCTTAACAGAAACAGGTCTTCATGACCCCTATGGGTACCTTTACTGTCACATGAGAAATCATGGAAATTCAAGACTAACAATTGATTTTTCTTTTAAAGAATGGCAGTAGTTTATACTGTCATGACAAGGTGATGTCTATAACAAGAGAGGAAGGAAAATTGACAGGTATATGAGAATTGTAGAATTCATGGAGTCAGTGGATCACAGTGATAAGATGAATTTAAAGTTAAAACCCAAACCTTACGTTATATCCTAGTAATTTTGAAAAAAAAATATTTTTAAAAGAATTTTAAAAAAAAAAAAACAAAGACAAAGAAAAGTTTCTTTCATCTTCTCAGCTACAACTCATGATCACATGGAATATGATCTTTGGGAGACCCAGATTAACTTTCGTTTTTACTTTCCAACAACATATTCAAACCATCAGCAGAAGACTATCCCAAAAGGTGATGATGAAGGTGACAGAAGAACAGATAAAAGGAGAAACATTTTTCTCCTGAGGTTATTTAAGTGATTATAATATGTGGATAAAAGCAAATGAACACAGTGAAAAAGCAGAAGTAATCACAGATGAGGATGGGAGCAGTAATAAGAGAGGCAGGAACTGGAAAAGCAAAACAGAGGAGATTTAAAAGTAAAAGAATATTGCATGAGAGAGGACTAAAATGGTCTGTCAGGCACTGAGATGAGCCTGTGCCTTGGGAATTGTCAACTGACGTGCTGTCTTTCTTCTGGTTTGTTCAGAAGCATTTCCACTGCTGGCAGTCAGTTTTATACCTGAAGTTATAAATTCATCCAAGAAAATAGGCTGTTCTTTCCAAAAGTATGATCACAGCATTTCAGAGAGGAGAATGTTAGATGGAACCTTTCTTTTCCACCTAACATCCTCTTATATTTACTTATATTGCTCTGTCTAGTAGTGAAGGTGGAGGTGAGGATGGATGGTTACATGTGATGTGTCTGGTTGTTTTTTGGTTTAAGTTCCTTTTCTAAACTCCAGCAAGATTCCAGTAACTTTAAAAATTCTTGTAAAACCCTTTGGAAGGTCATTGGGCAGTTCTGATTCTTGGATCTGAGAGAGATGCAAGCCATTTGGAACATGAAACATGAGAAAATAGAAAACATGAAATCTGTGAAGGACAAGAGAAATGGCAATGGACTTTCCTCTACCTCTCCTCTGGCCACCCACTTTAAATTCTTTTCATCACCCATGGCTTTATTCGGGACTCTGTCAAAGGTCCTCCTGACTTTGGTAGGGGTTTGGTGAGGTCAATGGGTGAGTTCAAAACTGTGTTCATGATAATTTTCAATGTATGAATGTGGAACCCATAACATTTTAAGGTTCCTCAATATTCTACTGAAAATGACCATACAACAAGAGTAGTACACTACAGTGCTATCTGCAGTTTCTGAGATACCTACCTCTTCATTATAGAAATGTTTGGTGATTCGAGCAATAACTTAAATGAGTTTTCCAATTCTGGTATTACCTTTAAAAATACTCTGTTAGTATTCATTATGTAATCCCAGTTTATTTAGCAATATGATAGAAATAGGTAAGAAATACAACTTGAAGTACTGCAAAAAGCATCCTGTTCTCCCTCTTTTAAGCCATTTTGAGTGACAGTATCCCATTTGTATTACCAGCTCTCCACATCTCTTAATCCAAGAAATGTCCCATGGACCATAAATGTCCTGTGAAAGACATGCAGGCCCTGTAATTGGTTCAGTTTTGAACAGTGCACATTGATTGGTGTTAAATGATAAAGGAAAAGATAAATTAAAGAAGTACATGTCCCATCACTGTTGGCAATTTTCATTATTTCCAAAAAGCAGCGCCAGCTAAAGACATCCTTCAAGAATAGTCCTTTGTGGCAGAGCTTGTTGAAGCTATCCCAGTGCTTTTTTGCTGCTTCTCCCTCTTCCCTGCTGCCCTTGTAAGGGTGTACAGCCTTGGAAAGCTACTCAGAGGAATGGATCAGAATTGACTCTGGTTAAAATAATGCTGAAAATGAGGATTTGGTTTATGTTTTATAAGTTATTCGTGATTCTGACCTGGTTGTCACTGAGCATCTGTTATTTCAGCCTGTCTGTAATAAATACCTGAAATAATAATCTGTGCCTTTAATAGAGGAGAGTAAGTTATAAATGATGAAAATGGAGGAGAAAGTGATCAGTGCAGAACTTTGTTCAGAAAATATACAA